GAAATCTTTGGTCCTGAAAATAAATGCAAGGCCATTAGAAGGTTATGACATATCAGAGTGAGTATTGAATTAATCAGTATGGTTAACTTCAGAATATGTTATGTATTAGACTATCAATGTATGTTTATAAAATAAGAAAACAGATCATATAGTGACTTTAATTACCTACTACATAGAGTTAAGACAATTGTGTGGAAATTTGGGGGTCATTAGCTCCCTAAAAGTTGTCAACACATGTGTATATTACAGCTTTGATAAACATTTCTGTCATTTTGTTAAAAACAGATTGAATCAACTGTACACGATTTACTTAAAGATAGAATAGGAAAAACCTAACAACAAAATAACAAGCATAAATTGAATAATTTGCATTCACTCTCTGTTCCTTGTGTCATTTATGAGCAATTATGCAATGTGCTTTACACTCAACATAAAGGGAAACAATGAAAGCTTCATTGTAAACTCAATATCATGACTCTGTTGTCTTATTTCAAAGTCAGAATGGGGCTTTTGCAATTGTATGGGGATATATAAAAATAAAATTTATTATTTAAAAATAAATAAATAAATAAAATAAAGTCTTTTCCAATCTCTAGGAAAAAAAAAAAAACAAAGATCAAAACTCTATTAAAATAATAGAGAATCTCAAATTTTCTTTATCATTTTTAATTATTTATTTATGCAAGAAAAATAATTGCTCCAATAAGGGAAATATTTTTATAAAACTTGAAAACCTGTTTTTAAAAGCAGAAATCACTGTCAAGTTCTAGAAATTCACTTTATATTATTTTTTCTTCTGGAAAACTATGATTACAAACAGAGGGAGTTCTCACAATAATTATGCATGAAAAGAAAAGCATATTCAATCAAGAGCAATTTTAAGAGACCATAACATTTGTTCTAATTAGAAGCAGAGCAATTTTCAAATTGCCCCATTACATTTACTATTTTTACTTCTTAAACTTTATCTTCTTAATTGATTTTCTAGAAATATAAAATGAAGTAGTCATATTAGATCTTTTCATAGTCTGTGTTTATAGCTATCATCTATATTTTTCTTAGAGAATACTTCATTTTATTTTATTTATCTCATTTATTTTTAATAGAAGTAATAGTGGGATTCCTCCATCAGGTATTACCACTACAGTGCACCCACCACCAACTAATCACTCATTCTAAACTAAAGTTTAAAAAGCATGCATAGGGCCTCTCTGGTGGTGTAGAGGTTAAAATCTCAGCACTATCTGGAAGGGATCATGCTCAGCGAAATAAGCCAAAAGGAAAAAGAAAAATACCGGATGGTCTCACTCATAGCAGGAATCTAGAAAACTTAAATAAGGGACCAGGAAAATGAATATAAGAAAGTGAAAATCAAAATCAACAAAAAACTATGAACCAGAGACACTTTTTGGGGGTGGGGGGCGGGAGGGGAAGGATTGGGGTCAGAATGGGGCGTTTGCAATTGTATGGGGGAATATAAAAATAAAATTTAATATTAAAAAAAAAAAAAGAATAAGGAAAATGACTCTTGCTTCTGCTTTTAAGCAGATAGCATTGAGAAAGTATCCAAAACCCTTTGGAGTGTCAATTGCTAGTACTGCAAAATTTACAAATCGATTTATACAAATTAAGTAGGTGAAGTCACAGAATAAAAGTGTCATAAATATGACTATCATATTTGGCTGTGCTTTTGAGATTGGATGCAAAGCTCAACTTGTCCATATGGAGGAAATGATCTAGAACAAAATATAAAACCTGGCCTGTATCCTGAAATCTAAAAAATGATGAACCAGAAAAGATTCAATGTTGTATTTGTATCATTTTACTATGAACCAACGACAAGCAGAGCAGTGAATAAAGATCAAGTGTGAATTAAAAAAAAAAAAAAAAATCTCAGCACTATCACCGGCCACTGGGGCATGAGTTCATGAGTTCAATCCCCAGCCAGAGAGCTAATCCACATGACACAGCAGACCTTTCCAGTCTCACCTCCTGGTCCCCTCAGCAGTGTACTCAGTAGATCCACCTGTTCTGTCCCCACTCATTCTCTGATGAATTCTCTCACCCCCTGCACCTCTGGCCTATACCCCAGTTCTTTTATGTATAAATAAAAATAAATCTTTAAAAAGCATATATGTATAATTTACTGCAATCAAAATATTTAGGACTGAAAATTCAGGAAATAAATTGAACATATGAAATGATAATTAAATTAAATGTTAACCTATTGTGTCAACTAAAAGGGCATAAAAGGAAAGATCTGCTTGTATCTAATTAATTAAAAATATTTTCTAAATTTTATTTATATACATACATTAGAGTTACATTTTCTCATATCAGACATCATAGTCTGTCACTTTTTACAAACAAGTTCTCAAGATATGTGGACTTTGGAATATTTAGGACATTTGCTTTCTGCCTTCTTTTCATGTAGAGCAGTATCATCAGGCCATCTGTCCTCTAGATCCCTCTGAAATACTATTGATATAAACTTTCTCCATATTCTTCATTATATTATTGTTTTTAAGTCACACTTTTTGTAAACGTTATTGAATATTCTAACATAGTATAATTCAGAATGGTCCTCTATGGATTTGATAGCACATTATAAATTTTAAAAAATTGGCATGAGTTGTATTTGTTCCAACTACAAATCTTGTTTACAGAAGATGGACATGCTAAAACTAAAATAAAAATCACCTACAGTTTCTGAATTACTCTTCAAATATTATTTTGCTTTTTTTTTTAAAAAAAAAAGTTAAACTTAGGAATCCAGAAATATTGCAGCAGAGTGAATATACAAGGCTCACCTCCTCCATATGTTTACAGCCAAATTACACCCAAAGAAAGACAAAGATGAAGAACAGATAATTACTGTACATATGGCACAGTGAAGAGGGGTAGGGAAAACTGTAATTAAATTCTGGAGTAATATGAAAGCAATACAACACATGAGAGGGAGGGGTGATTGCTCTAGGATCCTCTCTGCTGCTGTTAACTCAAGGGCACACACCCACATCAAGAACTATAAAACCAGGGACTATACTGGAGAAAGAGTTCATGGAGTCATTAAACAGGATAGAGCATACCACTGGAGAGCTCAAGGAGTGAGGATGAAGGGTAATGATTATCAGTTTGAGTGTACAGCTTCCAAAGGTGAACAGTTGGACCTAGACCTGGCAGAGAGGGCCAGGTCAAATGACCAGTGTTTCCTTACTCAAAAGGCTACTATTTGAAACCTTTGTATGTGACATATGATACACTAACGACCTGCCTTACTCACCCCTCTCCAATGTCAAAGTCAAATAATAAGCAAATACTGTCTTTACATGGGGTTTGAAGTACCTGGATGTTACAAAACAAGCAAGTATTCCATGGAATTCTAAAGGCAAATAGAACAACTCCTGGTGTGTGACTCAATCTCTACTGTAATTTCCATCCTGCACACTACTTCTATTGCTCCATCCCAGCTTAGTGGTTTAGTCTGGCAGGAAATTGCTCAAGACATTTTTGCAGTGGTATTAGCCTTATGAGAAGGTCACTCTACATCTCTACTATACAACTCAAGGAACCTCTGCTTAAACCGTTAACGATCACTCTAGTTGACTTTTCCTTCACCTACTAATTCATTTCCATCTACCTATTACCCCACATAGGAATCAGTGCCCTTGTCATCTGAACAAATGCAAAGTTACTGGCCTATGAAATAATAGACATCCTGGGTAAAAAACTAAGATTGTACACAGTCACTTAAAGGTGTGGTATAAAGCAAATTTATCAATAAAGCAAATTTATAATAAAAAGGCTACTCCCTACTACAACTCATAAAATCTAGAAATGAAGAGAACATAACACAAATCATGGTTGTGGATGTTGCCTATGGCCAATATAAGCAGACATTTAGAGGCAGTAGGGACAGACACAAAGGAAATTTTTTAACATTCATCCAGCCAGCCATCTCACATACCCTTCTAATAGATTGATAAAATTCTGGAGACAGATAGCTGTGGCTTTAGTAGGTTTGTCCTTGGCCACCTTAAAATCCATATTTTTCAGAATTTGCCATTATGGCACAGGAAATGCCTCTCCTACTAACACTAACTACTTGGAATTTCTGACTATATAACAGTCATACACTCAGGATTACATCATATTCTAGTCTAAGAGTATTCTTTTATTCATTCCTTTAAACACAGTTTTCCAGTCCTTACTCTGTACAGACAGAAGTTAATTTTTAAAAAATGTGTAACTCTTGTATTATTTTACTGTGGCAAAACCACTTAAAATAAGATCTAACCTTTCAACAAATTTTATTAAGTATAAAATATCACACTATTGATATACTACACAGTGGAGCTCCCCAACACAGTCATCTTGCATACCTAAAGCTTCATATCCTTTGATTATCAACTCCCTAAATCCCCCTCTCTCAAACCCTAGACAACCAGAATTCTATTCTTCCATGAGTTCAACTAATGTAGAAACCTCATATAAATGATCATGCAGTATTTGTCCTTTATGAATGACTTATTTCATTTAACATAATATCCTTAACATTATACATGTTGCTGTATATTGTAGTGATGTAAAAGAATGAAATTGGAACCCTGTTTTACCTCATACACAAAACTAAATTCAAAATGAATTATGACTTAACATAATGTTTAAATCTGTAAAATTTCCAGAGGTAAAAGCACAAGTGAAACACCCATACATAAGACTAATGATATGGTACACATTTGTTGACACAGGTTATGAAAGTTTTGGTAATTTGTTACAAAACTTCACACTGCCAATAATATTGCCATAGCAACATAAAAATATACAAATAGGCAGATGGGGTATTGCAAGAATTTCTACACATATACTAACCCTTTATTTTGCAGAGCATGAGTTATTATGGGTTATTAGCAAGACTTCTAAACATTAAAACATCTCAGATGTTTATATTCAATTACCATGAACAAAGATAATTATTATAAACTGAACATCTTACTTACATCTGTCAGATGGCCAAAAGTTGGTTGAGCTGTTTGAAGCATAAGCTGTTTGGTTACTGGGTCTATTTCTAGAGGAAAAACGAAGAAAGTATTTAGAATATTATTGAAAGTAATCAAAAAAACCCCAATAGAAAAGTTGTTAATCTTATCTTTATCAATACTTTTACATAGAAAACAAAGCTGGATTTCCTCTATAGTAAAGTTGATTAGTTGACACTTATTCCTGAATTCACATTCATAGACAACTAGATCATTACTGAGAAGTTTAGCATAGATTATTGAACATAATTTCTACAATGTTTAACTTCATAATCAGAAATGGGAAATAGTTTGTACTTAACATGTAACAGATATTATTGGTAACCTCTGCAGAATTCATTACCTTACCTTGCCTTAATTACTCTCCATTTCAGAAATTAAATATACCAGATATTTTCCCCCAAGAGCCCCTATACCTAAGGCATAGGTGACCAAGCCAAAAGTAATCATAATTTATCACCAAAAATGGAGGCACATTTGAAAGTAAAAGTGAAATATTAGTAATTCTGCTTGGATAAATGGACATAATAGAAATTTTATCAATAAGTTTTAAAAGAAGTGGATTGGGAGATTTGGGAAAAAACTAGATTCCACTACGTAAACAATCTAGGGTGTTAAGCTGCCCTTTATGTTTTGGACAATGTTGTGTTGCATCACAAAGTCTGCAAGAGCATCTCAGATTCATGAAAAGATAGGACTAAAAACTAGAGCCAACACAGTGAGGACATGTGACTGAAAAGAAAGAAAGAGCAAGAATCTTTGCTGTTAAGTTTACTTTTTTAAATTACCTGTAATTCATGTCAAAAACATTCTCAATATTATATACATTAATAACAATAGCTAACAAAGTATACAAACATTATGCACAACTCATCTTATTATCAGACAAGCTGCTTTGATCAATTTTCTCCTTAGGTAGTCCTAATATTTTTTTTTTTGTTCAATACTGGAATTTAAACCCACTAATATTTTTAAGGTAAATTTTCAAAACATATTATGCTATAAGTAAATCTTTACGCAATCTTATAATCTACTTAAAATCAATATTAATTAAAATATCATGACATAACTAAGTAGTTAATTAAAAATATCTATTAACAAACAAAAGCTATGCTACATAACAGTTTTAAAAGCAGTGTAGTAGTTTCTAACTCAAACTCATTTGACGGTAATGATTAGGACACATTAAGTCAGATAAAGCATATAATAAGAAATGTATGCCTAAGAGGGATATACAAAATAATATAATAGAATACAATGGTATAGCATAAGAGGTTCGATCCCTGGCCACCGGAGAGGGTCCCACATGGCATGCAGATCTCTCCTGCTGCGCCCGCTGCTCCACTCAGCAGTGTATTTCGTCAGTCTGCCTGTTCTGTTTCTCACTCTGGCTCTGGTGAATTCTCTCACCCTCCTGCACTTCTGACTATACCCAGTGCTTGTATGAATAAATAAATAAATCTTTAAAAAAAAAACCAATAGGATCCTTCTAATACTGTTACATCACTCCTCCTTTCATTATCTGCTCACTTTCTCAACTGATTCACTTTATAGAACACCTACTCTGTGAGCCCCCAAAACAACACTACATTATTTAGTAGTTCAGGAAACTACCAGGTGGCCTCAGTACTTATATTAGAATTTATTTAATGAGAAACAATGATTGATTTGTGCAAATTTAAAGATTTGTTTGCAGTAGGTATCTGTGTATCTCTGGTCAAATTAGATGACATTATTTATGGACTCTCTCCACTGGGTGTGTGAGTGGGACACAGAAATGAGATTGTCTGTACAAGATCTCTCTTGTGTACATTAAGTGGCAGGCATTACTCCAGACAAATTTCATGCTATCTCATGCAACCCTCACATAATATCTGTAAGGTAGGTAATTCTTGCAGCAATATTAGAAATGATAAATTGATGGCTCAGAAAAATTAAACATGTGGCTTTGCCAGGAATTTAGCCAAGGTCAATCTCAACAAAAACGTAGAAAATATATAATTATCTCATTGCATGTGATACAGTTCCTGCTATTATCTTTCATTAATGTAACACACAGCCCAGAATTGCATGGATTTTCCCACAATTTTATGGTGTAAAAGTATTAGAATATCATTTTATTGTAATAAATGTTAGAATTCTTATTTATATTTTTACACCAACCATATAGATTATCCAGGTCATGATATTGTATTATGATATAAGCAATTTAAATCAGAGAAAAGAATATATAAATAAATTGAAATTAAGAAGCAGTTGGTAGTGTGCCTAGAGTATTATTACAACTTTTAAATTGCATTTAAATACAAAAAAGAAATCTGGGAATAGTCATTATATAAATAGATTTAATTGAAATAGGTTTGCCTCTCTCCCACTCTCCACCTATAAAAGCCACAAGCAGGAATTCAGAGTGGGAAGATTCCACCTCTGAAATGTAGAGGATTCTGACATACACAAAACTTTACACTCTTTTTCTAACATTTTAACAAGCAAAAAGGCATACTTCTGAAAAGGTGGGTGCAGAAACCATGTGATTCCATTTCAGTAATTATGATAGCCATAAAAGAATGATTGTTTCCTTTTCTTTGTAGCTTCAGAGAGCTCTCAGAGGGACAGCTGAAAAAGTAATGTCAGATTGATGTACAGAATGTGATTCAAAGGATCCTGCTGTTCATAGGTTTTCCTGAAGAATGATGCCCTCAAGGGTTGATATATTTTTATTATAGTGCTTACATGAAGCTCTGCAACCTCAATAATAGTTATAGAAATGGCACTGTGTCTGGCTTCATTGATCAAAAAATTGACAAATGAAGGGTTCCTAAAAAAATTATTATATGATGTTTCTCATTTATTCTGAAAATTATTGATATATTTTGAATGTTGAACTAGCCTTACATTTCTAAAATAAACTGAACTTGGTTGTAGTAGCCATTTCTATATATTTACTGGCTTCAGAGTTCTAAACCATTATCATAATTTTGCATATGTCTTATAATATTGCTCAGTAATATTTTTTCTTGTAATGTCCTTCTCAAGTTTTAGTATAAAAACTAATTAAAGAAACATAGGAAAGTTTTCCCCTCATATTCCGTAAAAAGTTTTTACAATGTATTCTTTAAATGCTTGATAGAATTCATGCATTACATAACTCAATGAATGCCCTTTGGGGAAGATTTAAAAGTCTTGTTAGTTTCTTTAGTAGACAAAATTAACCTTTTAGTAGACAAAATTTACCTTTTCTATTTATTTTTAGATGATTTTTAAGGTTTTTTTTCTAGGAAGTTGTTTGTTTTATCTAAATATTCAAATAATTGATATATATTGGTTCACATTAGCCTCTTACGGCTTTTACATATAAAATTAATCCTAGAGGATGTTTATAAAATGGCATCACATTGTTCTGATTAGTATTTATTTTAATTTGGATATGTGCATTCAAGTTATTTCCTATCATCTAATAGGGTTATTTTGGTTGAATTGTAATAGTATTTGTATTCATTATATATGCTGGATGCTAGATTATAATAGGGTATTTGATTTGTATTTTCTCCAATTTTGTGAGTGATCATTTTAGTTTATTGAAAATGTTTTTTAAAGCAAACTAAAGTATTTACAGTCCGACTTAACTAATCTTTGGTTGTTTGTTAGGTATCATATACATATACAAGGAAAATATACATGTAAATCTTCATAGCCAATCATTGCTTAATGTATGGCCATGAAGATTTACATGTATATTTTCCTTCTTTGCTTCAAAATATTACGATTAGCTATTAATTACCAAAAAATATATGTTTGGGAATACAACTTTAGGACTCTTTGAAAATTTCTGGTATCTGTCCTTTTTCAGATGTTTACTATGCAAATATTTCCTCCCTTCCTGTAGGGTGTCTCTTTGTTTTAGTTAAGGTCTCTCACTGTGCAGCTGTGCCAGAGCCTTTTAGTTTAATGTGATTCTAACTGTTTATATTCTTTTTTGTTTTCCTTGCTGCTGGAGTTGAATCTGCAAAGATATCTCTGAAGTTTATGTCATGGAGTGTTTTGCTTGTTTTCTCCTATTTTTCTTATGGTATCAGGTCTTAAATCTAAGTCTTTTATCCATTTTGAGTTGATTTTATATATGTATAAGAAAGTAGTCTAGAGCTCCCTGGTGGTGCAGGGGTTAAAGTCTCAGTACTAACAAGCTATTACCAGCCACAGCCCCAGCCAGGTAGCTAAGGCACAAGGCACAGCAGACCTCTCCTGTCTCGCCCACTGCTCTCCTCAGCAGTGTATTTCAGTAGATCTGCCTTTTCTGTTCCCCATTCTGTCTCTGATGAATCCTCTCAATCCCATACCTCTGGCCTAGACCCCAGTTCTTGTGTGAGTAAATAAATATAAATAAATCTTAAAAAAAAAAGAAAGTGGTCTAGTTTCATTCTTTTGTATGTGACAGCCCAGTTTTCCTAACACCATTTACTGAAACGGTTTTTGTGATCCATTCTATACTCTTCATTCCTTGTCATAAGTAATTAGGTGTCCATATTTGTATAGATATATTTTGGGGCTTACAATTCTAGTTTATTGGCCTGTGACTCTGTTTTTGTATCAGAACCATGGTGTTTTAATTATAATGGCTCTACAGTATAGAATAAACAAAATATTGATATAGCAATAACAGGGAATATTGAGCAAAGGAGGCCATGGAACACACTCTGCTTCCTTAAAGTTTAAAATAAGCAGTAAGAACAATGAGTAACTTTGATGATGTAGACAGGTGTGTAAATAACTGGAGAGGTCAAGAAAGAGCTTTTGGTATATTTTAAGAGTGGAGTTTTATACCCTATCTCAGTCTTGTATTGTGCAACATGAGCAGCCCTGAAGACATAACCAGTGGCCTATGTATCTACATACAAAGTACACTGTACCTTTAGTGAATGAATATATTTTATTCGCATGTGCTGTTTTTTAAATGTATTGAGAACTTGTGATTTAAATTAAATCACTTAAAATGTTATTCATAGCAGCTTCTTGCTATTAGTTTTTTGTC